TGGTCCCATGGCGGGACAGGAGAGGTGGAGGGAATGCCAGCAGAGTGGTGTGTTTAGGGAATTGTCCCCTTCTCCCGAGTGCCTGGGGGGGGTGTGGAGGTGATGCTCACCTGGCATCTCGTTCCTAGGGCTGTATCATGCCCAGGCTGCAGGCCAGCCTCCCGCTGACAAAAATCCATGAGCTGATCCTGGGTTCACCATGGCCTGAGTGGCTTCTGTCTCCATCCTGGCAGAGAAGCACAGTGGGAACATCTGTCCCCTTCCAAGGACAAGAACAGCCAGTGATGCTGAACGGTGGCAAACTCCAGCCCTCATTAAAAGAGGGCTCCTGCCACCCCACACCTGTGCACATGCCACTGTCCTTGACCGTCACTGCAGCAAGAGTTCAGCAAGGCATGGAGAGGGCCAGGATGAGGGTGTGGAGGTGGTGCTGTGTTGCAGTGGGTGATGCTGAAACACCAATAGAACAGGTAAAGCCCAAGGGGGCTGAGCCAGCCGGGGCAGGGGAGGTTGGGGTGGCTCATTGGCCCCCGCTGCACTGGCAACCTAGCCAAGGTGGGGCTGGGAGGTAGCCAAGACCCAGCACCTCAGAGCCAGCTCATCCCTGGCCATCCCAGGGCCACTGTTGGGGGACCTGGGGGGATGCTCAGAGCAGCACGACAAGGCGAGGGGCAGGAAGGCAGGGCAGGGCCACCACTCTATTTGCAGGAGGCAGGATAACCCTGGGCTGACCCCTTTCACACACACTGCACAACACCCCTAAATCAATTGCATCTTATTATTACAATATCAATATACAATATTCCTACAATAACACCATTGATTTCCTACTCAGAGGCTGCACCTAAGTCTGTTTTAAAGAGGAGGGAGCTAATAGTGCCCTCATTAAAAATCTATAGATTACCCCCCACCCCCAAAAAAAGAAAAAGCAGTTTATATTCATTAGGGCTATTGAATATAAAGTAATATGTTTGTGTAGGACATTGGAGTAATGTGATAATCCGTCCGCATATCAGGGAGAAATCCACTTAGCAACCCTGTCAGCTTGACAAGAAAAATGTGCCCATAAAGTCAGGAATACATTGAGGGAGCGGGTGCGAGGAGAGCGGGAGCGCGCCTGCGTCTGCTCGCCGTGCGGCACCCAGAGCCCTGCTGGTGCTGGCACGGGGCCACCTTCACCCCATCCCCCTGCTCAGGCCTGGGGACTCAGGCAGCCCCCCAACAACCCCGGGAGCTGTCTGGGACTGGGGAAGCCGGGAGCACCAGGATATGGATCACAGGGGGTTCTGCAGCCTGCCAGACTCAGCAGTCCCAGGCAGAGTCACCCTGGTGGGACAGGGCCAGCGGGTGCCAGCCTGGGTGCTGGGGCAACCCCTCCAAAGCCACGTGCCCCCCGGGGAGAGCCAGGCTGGGGGGTGCAGGGTGGGCAGAGCTGCCCGTGGCCCCCCTGCCTGCCTCAGACCCCACTCATGCCCTGCCCCATGGTCACCTTTGCAATGGATTAAGCATGGAAAGAGCAGCAAAGCAATCCCATTCATGCTCTCTTATGCTGCCAGTTGCCAGTTTTGTAATAGAAATTCCTTTCACAAGGTAACGACGGCCAGATTTAGGGGATTTCATATTGCTAATAATTCCCCAAACAGCCATCTGACGGTGTTGTTTTAAAAGCCGCTTAGTTTTTTGCTTTGGAGTTTATGAAAATCTCCCACTCTAATATCCCGAGAGCCAGCCTATAATTGTGTTATTAAATCAATCGGAGCGGATTACATTGTAAAATCAATAGATGGCTGTAATTGCATATTAGAAAGTTGTTCTGCTGTTGTTGATTTTTTTTTACATGGATAATTATAATAAGCGTGTTTACCTTAGTGCTGATTTGGAATGAGTCTCACTAAATGACTTACAACTGGCTTGGTGCTCCCACTGCCAGGGGGCTGTGGGATGGCAAGGGCGGGGCTGCTGGCACCAGCGTGTGGGTGGCACCAGAGGTCCCACCAGCTTTGCAAGGTGGTCACTTGGTGCCCAGGGTGGCTCCCAGCACTGGCATCCAGCGCAAGAGCACATCAGAGCTTAGGAGAGATGGACAGTGGGGTTTAGGAAGCAGCCAGTGGTCCCAGAGGGTCTCCTTGGGGACCAGCTCGGAGGTCCCAGAAGGTGCTGTGGGGTCTCTCAGCCAGTTTGGCTGCTCCCCAGGTCTTTGTGCAGTTTCCCTTTCAGCAACATGGAGCAGTAACCCATTCCCAGTGGTCTACACCAGCCCAGGGTGATGAGAGGGGTAGTGGAATGCCGGGGAGCTGTGAAGGACAGTGGCTGGGGGCGGGGCTTTGCAAGGTGGTCACTTGGTGCCCAGGGTGGCTCCCAGCACTGGCATCCAGCGCAAGAGCACATCAGAGCTTAGGAGAGATGGACAGTGGGGTTTAGGAAGCAGCCAGTGGTCCCAGAGGGTCTCCTTGGGGACCAGCTCGGAGGTCCCAGAAGGTGCTGTGGGGTCTCTCAGCCAGTTTGGCTGCTCCCCAGGTCTTTGTGCAGTTTCCCTTTCAGCAACATGGAGCAGTAACCCATTCCCAGTGGTCTACACCAGCCCAGGGTGATGAGAGGGGTAGTGGAATGCCGGGGAGCTGTGAAGGACAGTGGCTGGAGCTGTGCTTTCAAATCCAAGCCACTTGCCAGCCACCCACCTGATGCATCTCAGAGGCCAGGATTTGTTTTGCTGTTACCTTTCTGCAGGACCAGGCCAGGGCTGGCTGTGGAGGTACTTTGGCCCCAGACAGTTGCACTTCCCCTGCCTCTGTTTCCCTGCTTTTGAACCACCGTTTTGCTGTTAGGTCCCACTGGAAGTTGGCTCCAGGGGCATGTTCAGTGCAGGTTTCCTGGGGCCTCAGCTGGCCAGGAGCTGAGATGAATGGAGCAGTGAGTCCTAAGGATGGTGGGGAGCTTGCTTGAGCAGGAACAAGTTGCAGCAGGAGCTGGCACTGTGGCTTGGCCGAGCAAGACACCCATCATCTCCAGGCCCTTCTAGAGCCATTAGTGCTATCTCGGCCACTGGAGAGGACAGAGGCACAGAGAGGTGAGCTTGTCTGTGCTCCCATGCCAGCTGATGGAGCTGAGGACACCTTTCCTTCGTTGGGCTGTCATGTCCAGCTCCCTTCTCAGGCCTGGCACATCATGATGAGGGCCTGGTGGACACTCAGGAGGCACATGGCTCTGACAGGGAGGTTACCTCTCCCACAGCCAGCCATCAGCCAGGAGGGTCCCTGGCAACTCAGGGCAGTCCCCTCGGGAGCTGCACACAGGACAAGCCCCCTGCAGCTCTGACCAGTGCTGGGGGATAGGTGATGGTTTTGTCATTGGGTGCAGGGGGACTGGGCAGGGCCGCTGGTCTGGCAGGGACAGCAGGGTGGGCTGGCAGCCCCATCCCTGCAGGCAGGAGCCTGGCAGCAGGGCAGTGCTGCCCGTCGGCACAGGGCCCTCAATCCGGCACGCAGCACTGTCAGCAGGCAGCCTGCTGTCTCCTAGACAGTGAAATATGGCCACAATTAGCCCAGATACAGTTCAATTATGATAAACAGCGTTTGCACCCTTTAAGCCGTGATTAAAAGGCCTCCTCCCGTTGATAGAGAGACCTAATTTCACATTATTATCGCTGTAGCTTGATTATAAAGCACTCCCTGGATTTACAGTTGGGAGATGGATGTGGAGGCTTCTTTATCATTTACACATCAGTAATGATGCAGCCTTCCCTCTACCACAACATCCATCCAGCAGCAGCGGGGAGAGGGGGCCCTGCCTGCACCCCCCTCCCGGGGCACCCTCTCCCCGTGTCAGCCGGGCCCCGCTGCCACACGCAAGTGGGCAAAGTCACCCTTACGGTAACAGCTTGATAAATGGGCGGGCGGTAATGAAATGGAGACATCAAGGCGTGGGGCGAGGAAGAAAGAGTGGTAATCGGAACGAGTGGAGCTGTCCCGAAACGGAGGGGAGCGGGAAGAAGGATCGCCTCTGCGCCGTGTGCTGTCAAGGGAGAAATTACACATTTACTCTTGCTTTTTCTTAAGGAGACGGCCCTCATAGATCAAAACATGGATTTACAAGCCAATTTTCAACATGAAATATAGACACCAGGAATCAATTTAAGCCCAGCTTCTATTTTAGCAAACGGTGCCTGCGTTTAGTCCCAGGTAAATAACACCAGCCGGAGCCTTCCCCCTCCCCGGCTCCCCGCCCTGTCACCGCTCGCTCTGGGGCCTGCGGTGCTGCCGGCCGGGACCTGGCACCGGCTTCAACCACCACCTCATCCCAGGGATGGCTGGAGCTTGCCAGCCCAGCCACCCGTTGCCTGCCAGCCCCTGGGCACAGGGCAGCACCCTGGTGGGGACAATCCTCAGCTGTGGCAATGAGCAGAAAGAGCCAGGTGCCACTCAGCCCCTGCCTGAGGAGGTGAGGGGAAGGAGAGGACCCTGCTTGGCTGGTGGAGGGCAGCTCCAGCATCACCTGTCATCCACATCCGAGTGCAAGGACAGCCCCTTCACTGGCCTGTGCCACCAAGGGACAGGGGTACTGGAAGAGGAGGTCCCAGCACTGGGCTTGCAGGGAAGGAGTTGCTGGCTAGGAGCTGGGGGCCAGCATGGGTCCTGCTTGTGGGAAAGCTGTCCTGCCCGTCCACAGGCTCCTAAAGGCTGAAGGGCAAGCACCAGTCTGGAGGACCCAGGGATATGTCACTTGAGAGCCTGGGTGATGCCACTGCCCCAAGCAAGCCTGCAGGTCCTGGGCATGGATCCATCCCAGTGTGGCACAGGGCCTCACTGGGATGCAGGTGGCCAGTGCCAGGGAGCTGGGGAGCCCCACACTGCTGCAAGGCACTTGGGACAGAGTGCCTGGACTGGTGGGGACAAAAGCACTGTGCAGCTCTGGGCACTGCTCCTGCGTGGGACTTGGAGCTGATCCAACAGCTCCTTATTGGAACGCGGCACTAACCTGGCATCTCTGGTCTCTCTCCACAGATGACTGTAAGAACATTGCCAACATCATGAAGACACTGGCCCATAGAGGCTTCATCTTCAAGCAGACCTCCAAACCCTTTTGATCCCCAAGGCAAGCCAGGCAAGGGCTGCATGTGCCCGGCGCCGGCGAGGCGGGGAGGACGGGCTCCAGCATTAAAAAAAAACGGCAACCGAGGCCAGAGGAACCGATACAAAAAAATCTCAATTTCAGCTGTTAACTCCAGTAGAGGTTGTATATATGGGAAGGCAAATCTGTGTAGACCTGATGTGACTCCCTCTCTGGGCTGCTCCGGACATTATGCCATGCTAGCGGACAGCCGCGTAGGGCGCTTGCACCACATTTTAGACTCGTAGTTTGTTCTTTTTCTTTGGCTCCCGATTTCCGTCCCTCCCTCCATATCCCACCCCGTCCTCCCTCTCCCGCCCCGTAGCCAGAGCATCCCCCATCTCCTTCCCGGCATGGGCCATCCCCGCCTTCCCTTCTTCTTTCTTTTTTCTGGTTTTATGTTTTCAGGCCTCGACGGCTGCTGCAGCGCGGCCGCGCGTGCCCACGCCCGGGCAGCGCTCACGGAGGCTCAGCAGTGTCGAGAAGGCCCCTCGCCCTCCCCGCCAGACCCCCCTGCCTCTCCCCTCAGCGCCTCTTTC